TATTTGAAAATGCTTAACCCTAAAATGCTTTGCAAAGAGTGTTCTGGAAGCATGATTGTAGAAAATCCTCTAGAAATGACTTTAGAAACTGGGTGCTTTGTAGCTGAAATTCACAAGTGGTTCAGTCAGTAAATTCTCAAGATCAAAGGCAGAAGTGGCTCCCGGTAACACTCTTAGCATGAGTCATTGGAGAGGGGTGTGTAGTGATGCTCTTAGGATGAATTGTTGGAGAAGGATGTGTAGTGATGCTCTTAGAATGAATTGTTGTGAGAGGTGCCTCGAGATACTCTTAAGATGAGTTGAGTTGTCTAGAGAAGCTTCTTGGTTTCCTTGAGGGGGCACATTCTCCATTCAGCATCTCAAAGAGTAGTAGATCCATAAAAGCTAAGCCTTAATGTGGAAACATATTATGATTCAAAAGTAAAATGAATCCATGACAACAGAAACAAAAAAAAATATCTTCTGGCATGTATGCTTTTCTTAGCCTCATCCTCAAGTTTCTATTTTCACCTTTCTTTTTTTTCCAAGACAGGGTTTCCCTGTGTAGTTTTGGTGCCTGTTGTGGATCTCGCTCTGTAGACCAGGCTGGCCTCGAACTCACAGAGATCCACCTGCTTCTGCCTCCTGAGTGCTGGGATAAAAGGCGTGTGCCACTGCCGGCTGGCCTCTATTTTCACTTTTTTTCTGAGAATGTTTGGTCTGAGCAGGCTAAGGTGACCACTTACTTTCAGGTGTGGCACAAGCTTGGATGTAAGAGCTTCCTTTTCTCTTTATAGGTTGACCATCACAGACTCAGATGGCGCTACTAATTCCACCACAGCAACCCTCATCATCCATGGTGCCATGGACTACCCACCTGTTGCCAATGCAGGACCAAATCAGACCATAACTTTGCCTCAAAACACCATAACTCTGAATGGAAACCAGAGCAGTGATGATCACCAGATTGTCCTCTATGAGTGGTCCCCAGGCCCTGGCGGTGAGAGCAAAGAGGTGGTCATGCAGGCAAGTCCTCTATCCTGCCTGCAGACTTTTATCCTATCTCTGTCTGTCTGTCTGTCTCTGGTCTCTGTCCGTCTATCCATCCATCCACCATCCATCCATCCATCCACCATCCATCCATCCATCCATCCATCCATTCATCCATCTATCTATCTATCATCTATGTATCATTCATTTATCTATTCTTGGTTTAGGGGGGTTGTTAAATCAGAAAATCTGTTTTACAAATTTCTCAAACTGTGAAGTGGTGGGAAGAGCATGTAACTCACAAGTCTCCCCCAAGTTTACATCCCTTGCTGTCACACACCCAGGTAAGCACAGAACAGCAACCAAGCAGTCAGTCCTGTTGTTTCAACTCGATCATGACGTCCTTTGGGAAAAAAGCAGACATAGTATTTGTTAGAGCAATATTTTATTTAGACTTGGGAGAAACATTAGAGGTAATTAACCTAACTACGTTATCAGGAAAGCAGATATTATTCTGTATGCCCCACTTACTGAAACACTGTAGCAGATACTGCTGTGTTTACCACTCTAGAAGTGGGGGGACCTGGGAGAATGGAGCCTATAAGCAAGGCGGACTAAAGTCTCATCAATAGCCAACTTTATTCAGAACATCAGACAATTTATATTCCAAGGGTTAACAGGAGTGACATGAGTCAAGTGTCCAGTCACAGGGCAAGCCGCAGCTGGCGAGCAAGCTGCTCATGGCAAAAGCATGTTTATCCACATAGGCATATAAACAAATAAGAATAGCCGGTTGTAATGAACATTCTGAAGTAAACTCCTATCCACTACTCCTGGGGGGCGGGGCACGAAAGCGTAATCCAAGAACAATTTCATGTTTTTGAAGAAACTGAGGTCACTCTTGTCTTGGCTACTTGGAGATTTTTCACAAGCACTCAGAAATCTCCTTACACCTCCATTCTCGGACCCTGTTCCAACGCTGCTATACTGAGTTCCAGGGACTTTATTAATTGGCATTCCTTCAATGCTGTGAGGACACACAACAGACTCAGAATTACATTGTCTCGGGTTCACACCCGTTTTTATTTTCTCCTTCCCTCCTCCTCTCCCCGTTTTTCCTCCCCTCCCCCTTTTTTGAGACAGGGTCTCACTGTGTAGTCCTGGCTGGTCTGGAGCTTGCTACGCAGACCAGGCTGGCTCCAAACTCACAGAGATCCGCCTGCCTCTGCCTCCCCAGTGCTGGGATTAAAGGCGTGTGCCACCACACCCTGCTTCTTCCTTCCTTCTTTTAACTTCTGCATGCACCGCCTAGCACCTCACATGTACTAGGCGAGCTCTCCAGCCCTGAGTGCTAGCCCTTTCCCCTTTCATATTTTTCAAGCTGAGCTAGGGTCTTCCTAAGTTGTGCAGATCGGCCTTGAACTTCCTCTGTCCCTGGCAGGTCTTGAACTTGCCACCTTCTTGCTTCAGCTTCCCAAGAGTCTTTGTTTGCTTCTGTGGCTGTGATAAAGACCATGACTAAAGGTAACATGGGGGAGGTGAAGTTTATTTCACCTCGCAGCTGGTAATCCATTATCAAGGGAAATCAGGGCAGAAACCCGGAGGCAGACACTGAAGCAGAGGCCGTGGAGGTGCGCTGCTTACTAGCTTGCTCCTTATGGCTTGCTCAGCCTGCTTCCCCATACAACCCAGAACCACCTGCCTAGGGGTGGCACTACCCACAACGGACTGGGTTCTCCAAAATCTGTCATTAATCCAGAAAATGCTCCCCCAGGCTTGCCTACAGGCCAGTCTGATAGAGGCATTTTCTCAACTGAAGTTTTTTCTTCCCAGATGACCCTGGCTTGTGTCAAGTTGAAAAAAAAATCTAATTGGGACACCAAGAAGCTGGTGTGTTAGGCCTGCACCACTGCATCCGGTTTGTTTTCGAGCAGGATCTCTGCATTCAGTGAACCCAGCAGCATCTGTCATGGCACACTGTTTCCTGGGACTTCTCTAAGGACAGTCTTCCTCTTGTTTCCTTTTCTACACTTGCTCTTGTGTAGGGAGCACAGACCCCATACCTCCACGTGTCTGAGCTGCGGGAAGGAGAGTACACATTTCAGTTGATGGTGACGGATTCCGCAGGACAGCAATCCGCTGCTCTGGTCGCCGTGATTGTCCAGGCTGGTAGGTGAGATACGAATGAGATTTGACCCCAGAGATGAAAGCAGAAGCGATAGCCAGACTCTTGAGCTTCAGCTGTGTCTAACTCGGTGGTCACATCCTGAGGTTCCTGAGCTGGCAGGAAGTCAGAGATGCGAGAGCTGATGGGGCATGGACAACCAAGTTTCCTTTGACGTTATGAATCTTGTCACTTGCCTCTAAACCATAGTACCAAAGACAAAATGAGAGTCACTGTCAGCACCAAGTGTGTCTCTGATTGGTCATCTGGTAACTCCTGGGCCTGTCATACTCAGCTGGAGAAAGCTCCAGGGTGTCTTGGGAAGACTAGTTGACTGTGTGGCCTGATACCCAGACGCAGCAGACACTTGGGTGGTGACCCAGGCTCCACTCACTTTCTGGTCTTATAAAAACCCAGGGCTCGGCTACCTGTAGCTTTCGGGAGACTCATAGGTAGCCAGCCAGACCTTGCTTATGATGGTCTTGGTTTGAAAACTTCTCTAGAAAAGGCTCACTGTCTCCACATCCATCGCCTGGTAGCCTGATGATGGGAAGTCTCAGCTGAAAGGCAACTGATTGAATTTTCACTAGCTGATTCAGCTAAGATGTAAAAGGTGCTCCCAACCAGACCCTAGGGATATGGACTTACAGAAGATGGGCCTGGCCTGTGCTCTTCCAGGGCTGTGGCAAGTGCACGTGAAGTGACATGAAGTTATTCAGGCGCTCTCCTCAGTGAGGAAGGGCGCCCACATAAAGAGCACCCACAGAGCACGTGGCTCCAGAAATAGCTTTCACTGGAGTCCCATTGACAAACTCATGACAGGTGATCAGGAGGAGAAGGATGGGGAGTGGAGGGCAAGAAGGAAGGTGTTTAGGAAGAGGGGCCCAGACTCCCAGAAGTCACAGGACGAAAGGGGCCTGGGTACATTGAAGAACTAAAAATAATGGTGTGACTGGAGAAAAAAAGAGATGGGACTAGGCCTGTTGGAGACCAGGACTGGGATGAGATGTCCCACAGAGGGGCGGAGCTTTGTGGATGTTTGTCCTTAGGAAATTAGGAAGCCACTGTGCATATTGAGGAGGACAGAGGGGAAAGACACTATATTCTGATGGTAATGGCTGTGTCTGTGTGACTCTTGGCTTGCATTATGTGGCCTTTTTTTTTTTTTTTTGGAAGCAGAAATAGTAGCTATTCATAAAAATAACACCATGAGCGATATTTTACTTTTTTTTCTTTCTTCCAACATTCAGCTGAAACATTTTCCTTTTTTAAAATATTTATTTTTATCTGCATGGGTGTTTGGCTTGCATGGATGTCTGTGAAGGCCAGAAGGAGGCATCAGAACTGGAGTCACAGACAGTTGAGAGCCACCATGTGGGTCCAGGGGAATTGAACCCAGGTCTCTCCAGCCCACAAGTGAAATGTTGTCAACATGTGCTATGTAGTGGGCACTGTGCTAGACAGCGGGGCTGCAGACAGAAGAGAGCAAGCTGTGCACCCTGATTTCTGTCCCTCTTCCTTCTCCTCCCTGCACTCTTCCTTCCCTCTTGCCCTTGTTTACTTCCTCCTTAATTCCTTTCCTCCCTCTCACCTCCTCTCCTTCCTTCTTCTTTCATTCCCTTCCCTTCCTCCCCTCCTCCCTTCTTCTTCCCTTCCCTTCCTCCCCTCCTCCCTTCTTCTTCCCTCCCCTTCCTCACCTCCTCCCTTCTTTCCATCCTTTCCTTCCTTCTTCTCTTCCCCCTTCCTTTTTGCTTCCCTTCTCTCTTCTCTCCTTTTCCCCTCTTTAACGTCTGTAATTCTAGAGAACAACCAGGCTCCGGTGGCTGTGGCAGGCCCCGATAAGGAGCTGTTCTTCCCGGTGCAGAGCGCTACACTGGACGGGAGCGGGAGCAGCGATGATCACGGCATCGTCTGCTACCACTGGGAGCACATCAGGTAGTGTATCCACCCAGCTCTGAGGCCGGGTCACTGCTGAGTGACCGCATCCCTTCCCTGGAGGACCGTGTTAAACTGCAGCCCGAGCTTGTTGAGGAGTCAAGATTTAAGCAAAGAGTAACTAGGCCTTATTGATAAAAATATGTATTATAGGCATGGCACTACATGCTTGTAATCCTTGCACTTGGGAGGCTGAGGCAGGAAACTCTTGAGTTCAAGGCTAGCCTAAGCTACATAGCAAGACCCTCATTTCAAGCAAACAAGCAAACAAAAAGAGGATAGTGTTTTGGGAGAGATGGTCACCAGTTGGCAGTGGAGGGAAGTGGAACTCAGAACAGGTGGACAGGGCTGGCGTGGTATGGGGTGAGCTTCCTGGCAAAAGAGATGTAGGGAAAGCCATGTGTGGTCTACACTTAACCAGCCCATTGATTTCATAGGACAGATGTGCAAGTTCAAGGTGAAATTCACATTATAACATTTCCTGTTTTACCTACTGGGTCTCAATATACCACATGGCTTCTGAAGAAGGAACTGCATCCTTCCCATTTTTTTGTTTGTTTGTTTGTTTATTTTGAGACGGGGTTTTACTTTGTAGTCCTGACTGGTCTAGAACTCTCTACATAGACCAGGCTGGCCTTCAACTCACAGAGATCCATTTGCCTCTGACTATCCCCAGCTCCCAAGTGCTGGGATTGAAGGCGTGTGCCACCACACTGGCTGGCTCATCCCCATTTTCAAGGTGAAAAACTTAGGCTTGAAGAAACCAGCAAGGCCGAGTAGTTTAGGCTGCCTAGACTGGAAGAGGCTGCATGGAGACACAAACTGCCTCTGTCTGACAACCAAGTCTAGGTCTTAACGACTAAACATAATTCCTCTCTCCCATGGCAGATCATCTGGCTTGTGCCTTCCTCTTCCA